AGACAGGAGTTATCACAAGATCACAAGATGACAGTATATGTCATAACGAAGCCTATCATTATAGCTTCAAACGAGAAATTACGTATTCGCTTAACTGAAGTCTAAACATCAATCTTAACTCTGCAAGATTTATCAATACGCAATATATTAAATTTAATGAAGTTCATTAGCTAGCAATCTACGAGAATGGAAACATGAATGGTCAAGATTAGAAATTACATCCTTCTGATTTTTGAATTCTGCCTGAGTGATATTCAAGGGATTATAATGTACCTGTTATATAATAAAATGATAATATCAACATTTTAACAATGAAAAGTAAGAAATAAGGCATTGGCATGTAAAATGTCACTACCTATCATTTGTTACAGTCACCAAATGCCGAACATCAACAGCTGAACGCCAACTGCCGAACACAATTATATTTTTTGCGCACTAAGCTGAAATAAGATCTTCAAATAACAGTCGGCAAATGCCAAACATCAACCGCTGAACATCAACCGCCAAACACAATTACATCTTGTACACTAAGTTGAAAAAATATCTTCAGATGTTTTATCCAAAATATTTCTATCGAAAAAAGGTGACAAAAAGTGTAAGCATTATAATGGCAATTTTATTCAATCCACTTCTCTTCTAGGTGATTACTACTTTAAGACCTATAAATCATATACAATTAGACATCAGCAAGGAGCAACCTTACAATAGCTGCTGATCTAAAGTACCAGGTCTGATTACCTAATGAGAAAGAGAATGCTAATTCATTCAATTGGTACTTGGATGTCCTTGATATACCAAAGTCACACCAAATATTTATGCAATTACGATAACTTGATACATATTCAGTCTGAGTATACTTAACATTTTGAGACAACGAGTACATGTTGTCATTCTCCCAGGGACAGAAAAAGATAGAACCTTAAAAATATATACATAACAAGGCATTAACATGGAAAATGTTACCACCTGCCATTTTTTACAGATGCTGACTGCCAAACACCAACCACCAAACACTAAATTCCCCTGTCAGTGAGCTTTTTGTTTAAAATGATGATTGAAAAAATTGCTGATTTAATGAATGTCAAATGTACAGGACCACGCCATAGATAACAAAGTAACAGAAAATTAATTTTAAAAAAACTGAAACAAAAGTCTTGATCAAATTACCTAAACAACTGAACGCTGTGACTCAAATTCTGATGGAATTTTTGTCACTGATTTTAATTGGGAATGCTAAAATCATCCAATAATTTTTCAGTTAAAGAATGTAGACAAGAGATGTAAGCACATTATGTTAGAAAGAAGCTGATGATATCTAAGCATGAAATTAATGATCAAAGACTACTTTCAATAATGATGCTAAAGAAAATGTAAGTTAATGGGTGTTGATTATCTGAAAATGGGTGATTAAACTTATTATCCTGAAAGCGAAGGTAACGCAAGGATAAACGACAGTGACCCAGATAGTAAGCTACTTAATTTTTTCTCATTGTTCTAAGAGCTGATATAAAAGCCTCTTTAAAACTAAGCTACTAATTCCTTTCTCTTTATTCCAAGAAATGATAAAAGCCTCTGAAATAATTACAAAACTTAAATAAAGGCAGGCACGTAGGTAGCTTTTGCCAAGGGGGTTCAGTTTTTTGATAAATTCTACGGGGGAGTTCAAATTTGACGATTTTGGGTCAAAATCACTTGAAAAATGCTTAAATGGTATTGCATGCAGATGAGGATACTATATTATATATCTTTAATGATGAATCTAAGATTCTACCATTTTTAGTGTTCCCTGGCCAAAAATCTTTCAAAATCACGCAGATTCTCACCAAGCACTTTTCAAGTGATTTAGGGCCAAAGTTGTCGAATGTGAACTAGAGGTAAACCTACTCCCTGGAATTTCTAGAAAAGTGACAACACCCTCTTGGCAAAACCAGGGCCTGATTGACAATAATGTGTGGAATGATGAGAAATAAATGCTGTGTAATAACTAGAAATAGATACATTATACTTTGTGATATGAGAGCTTTATAACCACAGAGATGTGCTTATATTCTGACTGTCACCTTGGAAACAATGATTAGTTATGAATAAACTTAACACTAATCCTATTATAAGCTGACAATTGAAGGAACGATCAATAAGAGCCCTTCAAAATCCATGTCTTCAGTTTTGGTATGATCCTATTGTTTTTGAATATTTTCAAACCCAAGAACTTAAAAAGGCATTCGAAAATAATGTCCAAAAATTAAAATTAAAATTGGCCACCTGTAAATGCCAAAAATCAAAACATTATTTCTAGATTCATTATTTACTAAGAAATATCCGCGACAGTTTCAAATCAATATATCAAGTGGTTTGCTTGGAAATAAGCAGACAAAAAGTCACTTTGCAGTTTCAACTTTCAAAATTATGGAAAGTTAATCTTGATTTCAATATTTTTAGTTTTCATCGAATTATAAGTAAACTAAATTTCTGTGGACATTCAGCTTTGAAGTTTCTACAATATCAAAGTTGTATGACATAGACACTCTATAATCTCTTAAATAATTCTTCTGATGATGAGTCGATATCATGATTCAATGATAAATATTATATCACACATAGGGTAGTGCAAATTGCATCATTGCAATGCAAGCGCCGGATTCACTGTACCCTAGCTAAGCAGAAGAACATATAATTAAATCAAGGTACCCACAGGGGATGGTATAGGAACAATTTATCACGTTGCAGAATTTCTTCATCTGGTATAACTAATTATTCATTAAACAAAATTCAAATGAAACCCTGAACTTAAGAAATTATTCTTTCCACACAAATTCTTTGACAAAACAGGACTACAAAATTCCACAAAAAACCTTTTCAGACAAAACTAATTATGATTAAAGCATTTTACTTAAACTGATATTAGATTGACAAGAATGGTTTGGAAGGTCAGCTTTTCTATAAATCTGTTTTAAGTGAGAAAATAAAGATAGAATTGATCAATTTTTATTAAAAATCTGTTTTTAAATTGGATTAGAGAGTGACCAGATCAGCTTGACCTTGGAGTTTTAACACAGGCCATCAATTTCATGTTCCAAATATAGAACTGTCAATCAATATCTTTGGTCTGCTTGGACTGTATGAAAGTATTTTAAGTTTGATTGTGAATGATCTTCATCTTTAATGTTCCCAGGAACAGAATTGAAGTTTTGTTACAATGCTTACAATTTTATTTGTAAGGAATTAGAAAATGATTTTTGCAAAATATACACAGGTCATACTGACCTCAGAATGTTTCTTAGTGATCCACGGGTCAGTTTCCAGCCAAGATAGAATGGCTTTCACATCAGTTAAGGAAAACACAGAATAAAATTCTGTGCTATGGGCTGATGTGAAAAATCAGTCTACCCTGGTCGGGATTCACCTGTTAATCCTATGTTTCAGATTAACAGGTCATATAAAGTGACCTACTTGTAACAGACATTGAAAAAATATTATTTTTAGCACCATTAAAGCAAATCAAATTCGCCTAAAATGCAGATCAACTTGTGTCGATGTCATCAGTGATTGATTTCACATACATCGATGTTACTTTGTGCAATACCCAGTTGAACAAGCAAACTGAAAATTACCTTACATATACTCAATTGAAAATTAATCAACTAAAGTTGAAAAATAAAAAAACATCAAGAAAAATTCTTAGTCAGGTTGTTAAAATAGGTATAAACATGCGAAATGTCACCACCTGCCATTTGTTACAGATGCCAAAAAATGAAGACCATAACAATATGTCACAACTTTTGGTGGTGACAGAAAAACTGTCACCCAGTTTGTAAATAACACTCTGGATGGCGCTTCTACTGTATGGGACATTCTACTCATACTGTTGATATATAGATTAAAAGATTTTTTAGAGAATTAAACGATTTGGTCGATTTATCATCATCATATGTGATAGCTTAATCAGTACAGCATTGATAAGAAGTAAATTGCTTGTACTAACATTGGTTTTAATAATACATGCGCTGCAAATGAACAAATTATTGATAAATCTAATAAACTGAGTATATTAACGGTACTGTAATTGATAATCACATCACGATACATGATTGCATTTATAATGAAGACAGGTATAAATGCATAACTCTTTCTTGTCTTTGTGTATTCTATCATATGATTTTGGGTACATAAAAATATTAACACAAAAATCAACACTTTATTTTCTAAATAATTTTTTTCTTGTTTACTAGTAATACTAAATGAAAACCACACATTACTTTGTTTTGCCTAATGGGAGAAATTATTATTTTTTATTTAACAGGATTCCCATTGCTATCTCCAGGGTTCTACATTATGCTTTTTATATATTTTTGGTATCAATTCTATGTTTTCACATTTTCTCTCATTTGATTTGCAGGCAATGTTTTACTTGTACTTATTCACTTATAAATGAAAAACATTATTTCCTGATTAATAAAAAACTCAATTTATCTTCTAAATTGACTTGATACAGGTCAGACTTATGTCTGATACCCTTAGATCATCAACTAGTACAGTATACTTCACTTTTACTAGAATGAAAAATGTATAGTTCAGCATTCAACAAGTTACCCTTTGTATTCGTTCAACTTCGCTTCTTAAAAATGAGCTTCCTCTTCACTATTTCAGTTTACAATAAATTTCTGAACTCGCTGAGCCAATCAGAGTTTGACATTGAAATTCAGATGACTTTCTACACATGTTCCTTACAGCTCGCTGATTGGTTGAGAAAAGGTCAAAGCAGTAGGTTTGAGATGATTTATGAACTGGGCCGTCACAGGCACTGGTCGTTGGGGTGGAACTGCTAGACTACATAGTCTACACTAGGCAGACGGTAGTTTATAACTAGACTATGCACCAAGTCAGAGAGCAATAGCAAAGCAACACTACTGTATTTCATTCACAAGGAGAATAGCCTTTGTTAGATGAAAGGTTTTGATTAGCCAAATGGGTTCAAATATTTATCAATAATATGAAGAGGGTAAGATTAATTAGATCATTCTTTACAAGGGTATCTAACTGGTAGGGTTTATTGTTGTTTATAGCGCAGCTGTGAGAATCAATAATATTCATTGACAAGTTACAATGATCTACCTACAAGTATATGTAAAGAAATCAATGATTTTTATCACTAGTCTACATTCAACAATTTGAAATTCAACTGATTAAAATAGATGCAAAATCTTCATCGCTTCTCATCTGGCAGATTCTGCTTGCATGGCAGATTTTAGTTATTCAACCTTTACCCAACCCTGATAACGTTCATCATTCCCGATCTGTATAGGAAAGAATAAGGGAATCATTTAGGGGTTAGATCTTAGATGTAATGCTCCATTCAACAGTATGCATGAGACCTGTCAACAGCCTATATTTGGGAAAATAAGGGCACAAATACAGGGGCTAGGTTAAAGACACCAAAACAGCCTATGTTGGAGAAAATGAGGGCATAAAAACAGGGCTAGGTTAAAGACACCAAAACAGCCTATGTTGGAGAAATTGAGGGCATCAAAACAGGGGCTGGGTTCAAGACACCAAAACAGCCTATGTTGGAGAAATTGAGGGCATGAAACAGGGCTAGGTTAAAGACACCAAAACAGCCTATGTTGGAGAAATTGAGGGCATCAAAACAGGGGCTGGGTTCAAGACACCAAAACAGCCTATGTTCAAGAAATTGAGGGCATAAAACAGGGCCAGGTTTAAAACAAACCTAACTACCCTGTCTTTGAGGGTGATTAAAACGAGGCAGAAGAATAGAAAGAATAATCTCAGCCTGTGTTTGAGAAAATGGAACACTAACTACTCTCACTAATGGTTCTACTTGTTTCGTAGAACATTTTATCTCTGATTGGTGGATCATTCACATGAATGATCATACCTAATATGGCACCATCAATCATCCGAATTATAGCCTAGATTTCCGAGAAACAGGAGATGTATCCAGCTATATATTACAGTAGTCTGAATTCACTAAAATATCATTTTGCCTAGGAGTACCCACTATACAAAGGCCTAAAAAGCCCCTTTGTTTATGCCCTGAGATGTAGTTCACTAACTCCATTTTTGCACTCTTTTTCATTTTTTGGGGATATTCAGATTTTCTCTTTATTTGTCATGTGGGAATTTCAGGAATGTCATGAATTTGGATTATGTTTACATTGAATGGAAATCCATCATTAAAAATTGACATATTTTGACCAACATAGAGCAAATGAAATTAGATATGAAAAATATGAAAACCCTGGTTAAGTATGAGAAATAGGGTCATAAGCTTTGATTAGACAGACAGTCTTATCATAGACAAATATAAATGACCAAGGATTACAAATGTAATTGAAAAGGTAAATACCATCGATTCTCCAAATTGAATCAAGCCCGCTTGCCTTTCTTGGCTTACTCCTTTGGATGGTCACACTTGATAATTTAAAGTCACCGCTGATTGAGTCAACAAGGACTCGGGCTGAATAAACCCTGTGATAATTTTCATCATTACCAATTTATCTAGTGGCATTCTGAGGCAATAAAATTAATTTAACGAAAGAATATTCCAATACGACAGTCAACACGGAGCTTCAATATCCAACTTCCAAGCAAACATTGTAAAACATTAAATCCTTGCCTCTTACATGCATGACGTATGACGCAAAGTTAATCTCAGATATTCTCAAGGGGGTTCTGGGTCTTGAAGCATGACTGTTTTTTGGCATGTTGTATAACAAATTTTATTTGATTAGTGACATTCCAAGCAATCTCATTGCTTAACTAGAAAAACAGCAACTCCACGGAGTAGCAAATCCCACCGAACAAAACATATTTAGATTATTAGTGGCCATTTTGAAAATTCCTTCTTGAGCAGAGCTTGTTTGTCCCTAAGCATCAACATATAAAATGTAAACCATATCCATAAATTAAAATTTGAGTTATCAAAGATTACATTCTTTTTTACTAAAAATGGCAGCCAATTCTGCAGTCATTTTGAAAATCTTTCTCGAACAGAGCTATAGTGTCCCTAGGTATCAGCATATAAAATTTGAATTAAGAAAAATGGCAACCATTTTGAAATTCGGCTGCCATTTTGAAAATTCTTCCTCGAACAGAGCTACTGTGTCCCTACTGTGTTTGCAGGTATTAGAGTTATCAAAATTTCATGGTTTTTTTTTACGAAAAATGGCCACCATTTTGAAATCCAGTGGCCATCTTGAAAATTCATTTTTGAACAAAGCAACTGTGTCCCTAGCCATCATCATATAAAATTTGAACCACATCCGTTCACTGGTATATGAGTTATCAAAGATTACGTTTTTTACGAAAATTGGCCGCCATCTTGAAATTCAGCCGCCATCTTGAAATTCAGCCGCCATCTTGAAAATTATTTCTCGAACAGAGCTACTGTGTCCCTAGGCATAATCATATAAAATTTCAACCAAATTTGTTCACTGGTATTTGAGTTATCAAAGATTACGTCTTTTACGAAAAATTGCCGCCATTTTAAAATTAAGCGGCCATCTTGAAAAAATTTTGTCGAACATAGCTACTGTGTCCCTAAGCATCATCATATAAAATTTGAACCACATCCGTTCACTGGTATTTGAGTTATCAAAGATTACATATTTTTACGAAAAATGGCCGCCATTTTGAAATTAAGTGGCCATCTTGAAAATCTCTTTTTTGGCAAAACTCCTTTGTCCCTAGGCATCAGCATATACAATTTGAACCAAATCCGTCAACTTGTATTTGAGTTATCAACGATTACATTTTTTAAGAAAAATGGCGGCCATTTTGAATTGAGCGGCCATATTGAAAATTCCTTCTCGAGCAGAGGTCCTACACTCATAAGGCATAAGCCTATAAAATTTGAACCAAATCCGTCAACCGGTATTGGAGTTATCGCCCGGACACACGGACGGACGGACAAACAGACGGACGGACGGCTTCCCTATATCCCCCTCGAACTTCGTTCAGTGGGATAATAATTAATATATCCTATATTTTCACGCAGTTGGAAACAGAATCCATATTACACCCTAAGCCTCCCCACGCTTTAAAATGAAAGTCATCCTTTTCTGTTAGATAACAGTTTAAAACACTTTATACCAAACATCATGGAATAAAAATATTATTCTTTTTGTTAGATAGCAGTTTAAAACACTATATACCAAACATCATTGAAAAAAGTGTTAAAACAGACATCGTTGAAAAAAGTTTTATTCTTTCTGTTAGATAGCAGTTTAAAACACTATATACCAAACATCATTGAATAAAAATGTTATTCTTTCTATTAAACAGCAGTTTAAAACACAATATACCAAACATCATTGAAAAAAATGTTATTCGATGATTATAGCTTGCAGTTTATGTAGACTATATAAAGTCAATCAAACACAAAAATAACATAAAAATGATAGTGTTCCTACTGCCATATATTACATTACATGGCATTAGTAACATTCTACCAATCTTCAGAGTATAGAACATAGAATTACCATGGTGATAATTCCAATAGTCAATTGATATTGTAAAAGGCCTAATGGAATAATTGGCATTTAATGAGATAAAAATAGCAGCTTAGTATAGATTTTAACCCAGAAATAATAATTAGGATAGGGTTTCATATTTTCTTTCTAGATAGGAAGATTGTGTTTCTCAATTTAGTCATCAGTCCCTAGTGTAGAATGTAAATAAGAGAATGAGGAAGTTCAGAAAAAAATATTGTGTATATTGTGATTGTATATTGCAGTTTGTCGTAAATGATTAAGGGAAAAAGTACTCAATTGAATGATAACAAAATTGGTTGCAACTTTTCAGACCGACCCAATAGTCTAATTTTTCAAACATGTACATGTACTATAGAAATATACATATTTGAGGGGTTGTCTGATAATAATGTTGTCTAAGACTACACAAATTATTGATTGGAATTTCATCAGTCAAATTCACTGGGGGGTATAGTGATGCAACAACACCGTGTTGTTGCATCAAGATGGCCAGACTTCCGGTGATCAATTTTCGTACGACGTTTTGTTTTCCCAATTTACACCCATTTCTAGGACGAGTTGCTCAATAATCATACACATGCAGTTAGCGCATGATCTATATTTTAAAAAACTGTCATTGGTATACATGTAACATCATCAAGAAGCGATAAATTCGTGGTTTTAATTCCTCACTATTGATGCAACAACACCACTCTGTTTCTTATCGATGATGCAACAACACCAATGTGCTGATGCAAAAACGCCAATATAATGTATCATTGAACAACAAGAGAAACTGTTTTATGTTCTGTTTACAGGTGTAGGTCGGGGCATGAATAAAACGCGTGAGTCAGTGGTCCATGAATGAAACGTATTTTGTTTGGTTTCTTTGTCTATATCAAAGTTAAAAGGATATACAAGGCAAACTAAATAAAGTACAGAATCCCCGAGAGGCAATCTCATTGATATTGTATCTGAAAAATAAAGATTATATATTTTCTAAATTAAATGCCCTTGATTTACCGTATGGAAATTGCTTACAAATAACTCTTATAATTTTGGAAAGACAACAGATATCAGTCATTTTGTGTTGTTAGTACCTCAGTTGAAATACTCAATTCTGATTGGGTGATTAGCGGTCAAAATTATGTACTGTTGACCGCTACTAGGTACTGTTGACCGCTACTTCTGAAAAAAAAAGTTTCATGGCGTCACAAAAACATGGAAGACGGACATTTTGTAAACATTGATGAAAATGACTTTACTAGGCGACAAGTATAGCAAAAATACAATTAGAAACTTAAAATTAACATTAATTCACTAACGAGTCGTCTATATATGTATTATTAGATTACTCGGACTAACAAAACAATTGTAGACCTCTCCATTCGATCAACCGTCAAAATCGTATACCTCGACTGTAAACCTTGAAATTACTGTTGACCCCGACCTTCGGTCTCTGTCAACAGTAGTTTTTCTGTTTACAGTCTCGGTATACAATTTTGCCGGTTGACC